GGAGAGTGACGTACACACCCCCCCACACCCCCCTGCCCAACAGCACTGCCACCCGCCTGGGCTCCCAGGTGGCAAAGCCATGGGGGGACGGACGGACATGCCAGAGCAAGGGCCGGCAGTGCCCTATGGACCTGCCAGTTGGGTGAGCGTGACCCCGCCACAGCCCACCCTGCCGGGGGAGCTGCCAGGGCCCCTCGCTGCCGGACAAAAGCTCAGTCACAGCCTGGCTAGAAACACAGATTTATTGCGACATCAGTTTGCAACCAGCACTCAACCACCCCAGCGGCAAGTCCGGACCCGTGCGGATGCCCTGACCCCCCTGTGATGCCTCTGCGGCCAGTGAGCCGGTCCCCGGGGACATAAGCCCACCCATCCCCATCCAGGCAAGCTCGCTGGGGCTGCGGGCTGGGGTCCTGCTGTGCCAGGGGCTGCCTGCGGGCTGGCAGCATAGAGGAGGGAACAGAAGCCAGATTTGGGGTCCTTCGCTGATGTAAGCCACCAGCTGGGATCTCTGAGCAGTCTCAAGGCTCTCAGGATCCCTGGGGAGAGAGTGGGGTCAAACCCCCCCAGACTTGTGAGCGAGAGGGCTGAGCACGGGAGATGCTGCCGTGTCCTCTCCTCTTCCCGCGCTCCCTCAGTGCCAGCCCGGATGCTTTGGGGCGCTGGGAGAGGTGCCAGCCCGGTTTCCACGTGCAGCCGCTACACGTATCCCGTCAGGTTGTAGGAGTTCAGCTCACTCTTGGTCTTCTGCGCCTGGATGACGGAGGGCCGGGGGCTCTTGCCTGCCAGCAGCCGAGGCTGGTAGGTGCTTCCATAGGTGGCTGTCTGGTCCCGGGCAGGGCAGGAGGTGCAGAGGATGAAGCCGCCGACGAGGGAGAGGAGGGAGGAGATGATGCCCAGGTAAAGCGCCTCCCCGAGCTCAAACTTTATGCTGTCGGGGAGGATGGGGTTGTGGAAATCCCGCAGCACCACATGGATGTTCCACACCAGCGGGATGAAGCAGAGCAGCCCCCCAAGGATGAAGACCGCACCGCCCGCTACCGCCACCCGGTCCTTGCCCGGTGAGCCCTGGTTGAAGACGGTGCACCTCATGCCCACAACGGTGAGAAGGCAGGCGAGGGAGGAGATGGCGCAGGAGCTCACCATCAGGGCTTGGGCTGCCTGGACATCGGCAGGCAGGTTGAGCAGGGAGCTGTAGATGTCACACTGGGTGATGCCCGTGCTGTATGTGGCGCACTCCATCCATAGCCCCTTGGTGAAGCTCACGGCTGTCACGATGCTGGAGCCAATGTAGGAGCTGGTCTTCCAGCTGGGCAGCAGCGTGGCTGTCAGCGTGCCAATGTAGCCCAGGAAGGCCACGGCGTAGCCCAGCAGCTGGAGCCCCATGGAGACCATGGTGGGTGCTGGTTGTCACCTCCCTGGGGCTCGTGGCTTCTCACCCGGCTTGCCAGCGTCTCGTTCCCGCGCGCTTACCTTCCCATGGCCCTGCCGGCAGCTCCGCTCGCAGCACCGCAGCTCCACCCCGCTCCCGGGGGTGCTGGTTTTGTGCGGGCACCGGCGTGTGGGTGGGAGCCAGGGGGAGGAGAGGTTACCTGCAAAGAGTGGAAAGCAATCCCTCCCCGATTAACGATTGACCCAAGCCTGCGGAGGAGCGCCAAGCGCCCTTTCACCTCCGCTATCTCCCCAGCCAGACTTCAGAGGCAGAGCAGCGCTGCCCGGGAAGGACGCCAAAGCCCTCCCTTGCGCCGGGGCCACGGGCAGGGATGGAGAGCCGGCCGCTGATGGGGAAGTGCCCGCTGCCTTCCTGTCTTCTGCAATGTCCTGAGCCAAGGAAGCCAAAAAGCTACAGCTGTGCCCCGTTATTTGGGACCTGCCAGAGGTGATGTCAGGTGGTGGCCTTGAGGTTCCACCTGCTGAGGAAGGGAGATACCGCTTCCTCCCCATCTGTGTGGGGCTCACTCAAGGCATCTGCAGCCACCCACCACCCAGCCTGAGCTGCTGAGGATCCGGCGGGACAACGGGATGCGCCCACCTGAGATGGAACCACGGTTATCAACCTTTCTGTGCTGCTGGGGACAACGATGGAGACGGATGCATGTGACAGTGATGCCTGCATCCCCAGGAGAGCCTGGAGGTCCACAGAGGGCAGAATTACATCAAGGCGAAGCACTCTGGCAGTGCCTCGGTGATGCTTCCCTGAAGCGCCCCGGCTGAGCAGGGCAACCCATCCCTCGGTGGGGTGAGCACACTGGGGCACAGCTTGTGCTCGCTGCTGGCAGCGGGGATTTTTCTGCTAGTGCCATCTCCTGCCTGCAGCCCTTGGGGGGGGAGGCTGGCAGAGGCAGTGGAGTGGGGTGGTTTGTTTTCCCTCTGCCTTGTTTCAAAATTCCCCCTCCCGCTGCGTCTTGCGAAACCAGACTAAGCCCATGCCACACCGCGCCGACACTGTGGTCAGCGGCCTCCCGCCCTGGGAACGCTCCCGGCTGAGAGCGCTGCCACCACCCAGAGCCTCCGCTCCTCTCCCCGACCCCCCGCCGGCACCTCAAATGCTTGGTACTAAAATTTCCCAACTTTCTGTCTCCTTTCCTGTGCGCTAATCAAGATCTCCTGCTCCATCTCAGGGGTGTTGCTGCAAAAGAAATACCTAGGGTGCTGCCGAAATGGCACGGGAGAGTCATGCTGGAGCTCTGTGGTACTTACGGAGGTGGCTGGAGACGCGGTGCGGGACCGAGGGTGGCTGTGGCTGGGGGTCACCCAGGACCGGAGGTGGCTGGTCGGGGCAGGGCGAGCGGCCGGGGCCCTGGCCCGGGGGATCAGGGGCTGCGAATTGTTTAGCTACAGCTTTGCAAAATCCACCTGAAAATCTCAGCCTGGATCAGAGGCTTATTGCAGATCAGAATTAAACCCTTTCAACGTCGGGAAAGACTGGGGAGCTGGGACGCCTCGTTTTGCTTGTTGTTTATTAATTATCAGGGTAGGTTTGTCTAAATGGCTCAGGTCTGTGGCTTGCTGGCACCTTTCTGGCCAGCCTTGGTGGCCGGCGGGTGTGTCACTGTCCATGTGTCCGCTTTGGGCTGTGTCACCCGTGCAGGGGTCGGAGGGGCAGTGAAACGCCAGCAGGTTGAACTCCCCATGCCCACAGTGTCAGCTCAGGTTTTCAGTTCGCTCCTCCTGGCCCTGCTTGTCTTCCCCGGGGTTTGTTGTTGTAAGACTCCTGGCCCAAATGAGGAGCAAATGGAGAAGGTAATGAGGGCTGTGCTGGCCCCGTGCCCCCTCCCGTTCGCCGGCTGCCGCAGATGGAGAGGGGCAGGGAGGGCCCCTGGTGACAAATTGTGCTCAGAGCTGAGCAGGGTCCAGCCAACGTTTGGACAAGGGTGTTTGGACGCTGATAGCAGAGCTACAGCAGGGACCATTTGCTATTTTCTTTCCTTGTCCCAAATTGAAACCCTCCCAGAAGCGGGAGGTGACCTGTCTCCCATCGGCACCTCGCCTTGAGCGCTCAGGCAGGAGCAGCGGGCAGGGATGGGACGCGTGGCAGCGCTGGGGCAGGGGCGAGCCTTGCACCCTTGTATCGAGAAGCTTTTCTGTACCTCCTGGTATGGTCCACATCTCAAAAAAAGCCAAAGGAGAGGGCAGGGAGCACGGACAAGTGTGTGCTCTCCCCACTGCGCTGGCAGTGTAGGAACAGTGCCTGGCAGCTCCCCGGGGCGATCCGAGCAGGGGCTGTGGATGCCTGAGCAGGACCATTGCCCTGCCTGCGCCTGGGGTCCACCCCTGCCATCTGTCTTCCCTCCCTGTCCTCTCTTCAGCATTCCATCACCTGCCTCCTGGTTGCTCTGTGCTTGCCACCACCGCAGCCCATCACCCTGTCCCCAGGGCATGCCCATCGGCCTGTCCTCATCATGCCCATCAGGCTGTCCCATCACATGGCCGTTGGACTGTCCCCATCCCATGCCCATCATGCTGCCCCAGCACTCCCCATCCCTTCCCCACGTCCCCACTCCCTTATGCAAATGGCTACAAAGAGCACTTTATCATCCTCGTTAATTGTCTCTGCCCTCCCCTGTTCCCCCCTGGGGATTTTCTCACAAATGGTGTCTAACTTTTCCCTTCTGTGTTTTGCTTTTCCACCAGGGATCGCAGCCCCCCTGCTCCCAGCCTCCCCCCGCCCTCTGTTTACACAACTGGGACAAATTTCACACCCTGGGGACCGCTGCCCCCACACCCCTAGTCCCTTGCTCCCCTGCCCTTGCCCCTGCCCCAAAGAATTTGTGAGTCACTGGCCGGGGCAGGGCTATAAAGGTATCCTCACCAAGGGTCTGCAGCGTCAGAGGGGACACTGTTGACTCCCACCATGGAAGCTGCTGCCTGTTGCCTGCCTCCACACAGGTTCTCCGTGCCTGTGGCCAGTGCTTGCCCAGCCCCAGGGCTGGAGCAAGGGGGAAGGTACCTGGGTGCTGCGCAGCCTGAGAGGACTGGGGAGGGTGGGGAGGGCAGGGGGTGCGCGGGAGGTGGAATGGGGGAGGCGCCAGATGGATTCAGGTGAAGGCTGTG